GATTTTATCAAATGGGGCGGGGGGGGAATCTGAGCTGTGGTTTAGTTTGATAGGGGTCTGACAGGGAAACAGTGCTGTGGGATGTTCTGTATGGCAAATGTGTTGCTGATTAGTCAATAAATAAAACACTGATTGGCCATTGGCTAGGCAGGAAGTGTAGGCGGGACAAGGAGGAGAATAAAGCTGGGAAGTGGAAGGCTGAGTCAGGGAGACACTGCCAGCTGCCATGATGACAAATAGCATGTGAAGATGCCGGTAAGCCATGAGCCATGTGGCAAGGTATAGATTAATGGAAATGGATTAATTTAAGCTGTAGGAACAGTTAGCAAGAAGCCTGCCACGGCCACACAGTTTGTAACCAATATAAGTCTCTGTGTTTACTTGGTCGGGTTTGAGCGGCTGTGGGACTGGCAGGTGAGAGAGATTTGTCCCGACTGTGGGCCAGGCAGGAAAACTCTAGCTACAAATGGTGCCCAACGTGGTGGCAAGAGTTTCCACCTAAAAATTGAGAAAAAAGATTCTAAAACAGAGCTAAAAACAGTTCCTAATTGTCTCTCTCAAATGAGCTGCAGCTGCTGGTTTGAGCTCCTTGTGGGTTTCTGGTGTGCACGCGCTTGACCTGCAGTTTGGCGGGAATGAGGCCTCTGCAAGTGGCACATTAAACTGCGTGGTGGATTTAGCCTTTGCAGATACAAAACAAAAAAAAAGAGGTTTCTGGGCTACACGCTGCTTGGCTAAAAGCATAGACCCACGATAGCTCCCAGAGCTGGTGGTAAAGGACCACTGCCATGTTGAGAAGCTGAGGTGGGCGGAGCCAGCAGCCACAGTTGCTGCAGTTTAAAGCAACAGATTCACAATAAGACAGATTCAGATGTAATAGTTTACAATGTGTGTAAAAGATACGTGGGCTTGAAAGAGACAAAAAAAGTGATATATACAGTTATATAAACAAATACATAGTTTTAAAAAATAAAGTCTTTAAAGAGACAGTAAAGATAATATAAAAAATAAGCCACGTAAAGATGAATATTACACAGAGAATCTGGATTGTATTGTCTTTGGGATTCTTAACTGCAGAGAGATATTTGATTGTAAAGGAAGCTGAGTTAAACCAATATGTATATTTTAAAGATACCTTGACTTCAAAATTTGGATATAAGGATATGTTGCTTTGGAAAAGAGTCTCTTTTGTTTCCACAGAAAGCCAGAGGCTATGGATTTGTTCAAGATTACGACACATCAGGTTTGACCAGCCAAGACCCCCTGAAAGGTCTCCGATGACACCATGGCCCAGATGATCCAACATTCAGAATGGTTTCAAGGCAACTGGCTCAGATGATACAGCCTCATGGACTACTCCATGATCCTAAAATTTTCTTTGTGTCCCCATAAGATACATCGCCCCCCTCCAGCAGGAAGTAGTAAGAGAAGCTACGCCCAAATTCCCAAATTATATGTAATTTTACTTTGTTAAGGTTAAAACCTTCCTTTTTGGAAAAAAAAAGGGGGGAAAGTGCTGTGGGATGTTCTGTATGGCAAATGTGTTGCTGATTAGTCAATAAATAAAACACTGATTGGCCATTGGCTAGGCAGGAAGTATAGGCAGGACAAGGAGGAGAATAAAGCTGGGAAGTGGAAGGCTGAGTCAGAGAGACACTGCCAGCTGCCACGATGACAAACAGCATGTGAAGATGCCGGTAAGCCATGAGCCATGTGGCAAGGTATAGATTAATGGAAATGGATTAATTTAAGCTGTAAGAACAGCTAGCAAGAAGCCTGCCACGGCCACACAGTTTGTAACCAATATAAGTCTCTGTGTTTACTTGGTTGGGTCTGAGCGGCTGTGGGACTGGCAGGTGAGAGAGATTTGTCCTGACTGTGGGCCAGGCAGGAAAACTCTAGCTATAAAACAGATGTGAAGTAAAGCATAGCATGAATAAGGAGCTAGAGTCTGAAGCCCCGCCAACGGCCCACTGTGAGTGAAGCTGAGAAGAAACAGTCCAGTCTGCCTGCGGAACCCTCCTTTGACTGCCTGCCTCATAAAACCTTACCCTGAGAGCCATGGTGACGTGTCCAAGTTGCTCATGGTTGTGTTAATCATGTTAGTCAGTGTATGTTGGCATAGGCCTTGCCTCCAAGCCCTCGGGAGACAGAGGCAGCCTTATCTCTACTGAGTTTGAAACCATACTAATCTATATAGAGAGATCCCGGCTAGCCAAGGCTACACAGTGAGAGCTTGTCTAAAAAAAGAGAGAGAGATATTTTAAATAATGACTAATGTGTATTTGTACTAAACCATACTAGGTTTTTTATGTAAATTATTTTGTTTTCACAGCAACCTGACAGAAGAGGCAGGTGTGTTGTGGGATAATCTTTTTGTACACTGTGAAGATGTGTCTCTGCCAAAGCATCTTCTGATTGGTTTAATAAAGAGCTGAACAGCCAATAGCTAGGCAGGAGGCAATAGGCGGGACTTCCAGGCAGAGAGAGGAACTCTGGGAAGAATCTGAGGCACTCAAGATTCACCAGAGAGATTCAGAGCAAGTTGAAAGTGCAGTATGGAAGAGAAGTAATGAGCCATGGGGCAGAACCTAGATTAACATACAGAGTGTAGATTAATATAAACAGGTTAATTTAAGTTTTAAAAGCTAGTTGGGAACAAGTCTAAGCTAAGGCCAAGCTTTCATAATAAGAAGTTTCTGTGTCATTATTTGGGAGCTGGTGGTCCAAAAAAAGCCCAACTACACAGGTACTAACAACATCTAATATTTTTAATGGCTGACTCTTTTGGTGTGTGTGTGTGTGTGTGTGTGTGTGTGTGTGTGTGTGTGTGTGTGTGCACCAGGTGCCTGAAGGAGCCCACAGAGGCCAGAAGAGGCTGTTGATTCCCCTGGAACTAGAGCTGTAGGTGGTTGTGAGCTGCTGTGTGTGGTGCTGAGAACCGAACCCAGGTCCTCTGCAAGAGCAGCCGGTGCTCTCAACCGCTGAGCCATCTTCAGCCCTGCATCAGACAAGTCTCACCTCACTGTTGTGATGACCAAATGCACTAATTAATAAGAACTTATCAAGTGCTGGATGAGGTCCCAAAAGGTATGCCTGTGTCTGAAATCCTGGAACTTGGAAATTGACCATCTTCAGACAAGGGTATCCTTAAGCATGCAATCACAGATCCAGAAATGGGGAAATCATCCTGATTGTCCTCAGGGACCTGAAATGCCAAGACAAGTATCCCTGAGACAGACGGTGGGGCCTCAGAAGCAGAGACTGAGTGACACATCCATGGTTACGAATGCTCACAGAACCAGGGGTGGTGAGAGCATTCGTATGAGTGTGCGCCAGCACTCCTAGCACTTCAGAGGCAAGAGGAGGAGGATCATGCATTCGAAATCAGGCTGGACTGGTTAGATTCTTCTCAAAAATAAACAAAAACAGCTGCTGACAGCCAGCAGGAACTGAAGGCGGGAAGGCTGGTTCCTGGCCTGGAGATTCCAGAAGCAAGGCCCTGCCTACACTTAGAATCTGTGTCCGGCCAGTGCGCTCATAAATGGATGTTTCTTTAAGCCACCAGTCTGTGGCCTTGCGTAGCAACCATGAGAAAAGAGTGCAGAACCCCGGAAGTGCTCACTCAGTCACAGGAGAGACTCAACAGCAGCCATCAACTGTCCCCGGTTAGGGGACCAAAGATGAATAGTGATGCATCACTCCTCTAGGAGGGTGACTTTGTTGACCACGGAAGATGGGGTTGGTGAGCGGCTGTGACAGACTGAAGGACAGAGGCACGTTGACTCAGGAGAAGGAAGTGGAGGCTGAATGGAAGAGCTCTGTAATCAAATTAAGATATCAAGGAAGCTGCCTTTTCCTAACAGCCTGGACCCTTGTCCCTACACTCTCAGTGTCTGGAAGGTTCCAAGGAGAACAGGAACGTGATTTTGCACATGCTGAGGTAGAGGCCTTTCTGGGACACCCGTGAAAACGCCTGGCCAACAGCTGGAGCTGAGTACAGAGAGTAGAGTTCCTGGCAGTTTGTGCAACACCGGAAGTCCGGTGGAGTATGATCACTCAGGTAACCTCACCTATTCCGGACGAGGAGGACCACTACTGGGGAAACCCTGACAGAGTGCTTAGAGGGGGAGATGGGAAGTTTTTGAACTGATTTTTTTCCCCCACTTTCCATTCTCAGTTTACAGAGAACCCGATTGGAATGTGAACACACGCTTCATTGTTCCCTTAGAAGCTTAATTCTGAAGACCCCGCACAGCCCTGTAACCAGCTAGGCTAGACGGCTGCAGCCGGCCGTTAGTGCTCCGAAGGGATGCAGGCGCTGACGGTGCAGTCAGTAATCACGCTACCAGTGTCGCCGCTAACAACCAGGGAGGGTGTCTTTCCGCGAATGCAAAACGCTGAGCTGGTCAGGCCCGCTGCTGCCTGGGCAAGCAAGCACCACCAAAGCTCTCCATCTGTCACCTGGCAGAGAGCCTTTGAAACAGGCCCAGCTAGCTCGCAGCCGGGTCTGCAGAGGGAGCACCCCGGCCCGCGGGCTCCGCCCCTCTCCCCCTCCTCCCCCACCCACCCCCTACCCGGCCCCGCCCACTCTATTTGCTGTTTGCCAGAACGCGACTAAAGAACCAGCTCCGCTCCTTCTCTCCCTCCCAAGCTTCCCCAGATCTGTTCACCCGTCTTTGACCCTGTCTGTTATCCTTGGAAAGACACTAGCGGTGACTTTATCGTGTCCCCTCAGGGTTATTCCTGAAGTGTTTAAAGGGAGCACCCAGAGTTTTAGAGAGGGAGCACGGCCGGGGTGGGGGGGTATGAAGGGCGAGGTCATGGGCTCCTGGTCATTCTGACTCACTTGTGCCTCCCTGGGTTAGACCCTCCTCTAAGGGAGAGGCAACACCCCTAAATTTAGACGGACGCCCTTGGGCAGAAAGTACCTACTTTGGACACGCCCACCGCACACACAGCACGCCCCGCCCCCAGACCCGCAGCCTAGGCAGTCTTACTTGACTGGAGCTTGGGGTCACATTGAGTGGGGCACGGAGCCTTGTCCCTACACTGGGCCATCTTCTCCCCAGAGGCCGTCTCCCGCCTTGACAAGGCAGAAATGCTCCGCTCCGTCCCCACCCTCTGAGCTGTGCCTTTGTGATGCGTCGCCATGGAGACAGCTGTAAGCCTTCTCTTCCACGGAGTCTCCGCCCCAAGGGCCCAGAGGGTGCGTCCCTCAGGTCCCTGGCTTCCACTGGCTTCTCTAGCAATACTTCCCACGCCATTGTTTCGTGTATTGGCAAACAGGAGCAAACTGAAGGAGAATTGTATCAAGCCTGGTGTACTGGTGCACGCGTGTGATCCCAAATCTCAGGAGGCAAAGGCAAGAAGGAGGTCAGACCTGCAAAGAGATGCCTTGTCTCAAAATATTAAATACTCCAAGTATTACAAACCCCAAAGCGGACTGCCAGACTTCCAACCACACATTTGTGTCCATTTATAATTTCCAGTTCAAGCAAGGTGAGCATGTAAATTTTCGGGACACAGGATCTGGTCTAAGGGGAATGACACTCAGGGGTTCCCCAACAGGTCGGTCTTAGGTCAGCCTAGATCGGCCTGGGCCAGGAAACACTGGGCACGGACTAATTATAAAGAAAAACTTATTTCACCTTGAGTTTTTTTGGGGGGAGTGGGGAGTAGATCCAAGTCCAAAGGTGTGTCCAGGCATGGTGGCACAGGCCTGTAACCCCAGCATTTGGGAGGTAGAGGCAGCAGGACCAAAATCATCCTGTAACACATAGTGTGTCCAAAGGCAGTCAGGCTTACAGAAAACTCTATCTTTAAAAAATATGAAAACGCCGGGCAGTGGTGGCACACGCCTTTAATCCCAGCACTCGGGAGGCAGAGCCAGGTGGATCTCTGTGAGTTCGAGGCCAGCCTGGTCTACAGAGCAAGATCCAGGAAAGGTGCAAAGCTACACAGAGAAACCCTGTCTCGAAAAACCAAAAAAAAAAAAAAAAATATGAAAACATCCAAACTGCATTCCTGGTACCAACCATAGGGCGCAGGCAGGGCCAATTTTTTACTGTATGCTGGCCCACCCACCCACCTTACCCACCCACCCACCTTACCCACCCATGTATGCATGCTAGAGTCTGGCTTTTTAATTTTCTCCCATTTGTGACCACTTTGTGCCAGAGACATTTATGCAAGCCAGGTATATAAGGCATATAAAACAGATAGACAGGTCAAATGTTTATTGATAACCACGAGGGAGTTTATTTGAAAATAATTCATTGCTGTGCATACAACTTTACCATCTATGAAAGAAGAAAGCAAACTTTCATATTAATGAGATGGGTATGCTTGTTTATCTTACATAAAGATTTAAATCTCGGTTGAGTATTAGTTGCTGCACGACAAAGATCATCTTTGGTGCTTTTTAGAGTCGAACAGTGCTCTGGTTTTTCTAATCACCAATACTGGAAGATCATTTTGCATAAATACCTAGAGTACAAAGTGCAGAAGTGTGCTTAGAACCATTTCAAGAACCCAACCCCAAGCCAAAACTCATTTAACAGATTTTTATGAAACTCAAGTCAACAAATCAAATGGCACTGTTTTTAAAATGGAGCATTCCTGATTGAGGCTCAGAGGAAAATAGCAAAACCTTTCTCAGTGTGGATGTGTAGATGTGGAGAGTGTGTGCAGAAAATGTCCATTGTAGCTTTCTTTCCAGATAGTACGATCTATACCAGTCTCCATGATCTAGTTGGATACCATAACCCCTGACTCTCTGTTTATCTCCATGTACTAACCTGGTCTCCTTGCTCAGCTGTACACAATAGCCCACCTCTCCGCTCAACTCTATATAATAAACACACTGAGCATCCAGGGTGCTGAGGTGACATGTTTGATTTTGAATTAACATTTAGCGTTGCCCCGGGCGGTGGTGGCACACGCCTTTAATCCCAGCACTCGGGAGGCAAAGCCAGGCGGATCTCTGTGAGTTCGAGGCCAGCCTGGACTACCAAGTGAGTTCCAGGAAAGGCGCAAAGCTACACAGAGAAACCCTGTCTCGAAAAACCAAAAAAAAAAAAAAAAAAAAAAAAAAAAAAAAAAAAAAAAAACATTTAGCGTTGCACACGCAGGAAACTTTCCATGTTGTTTGCAGCTCCCTCGTTCCCTCACGGGACCCCTCACAACACAAGAAGCTGTGTGTTAGTCACTGGGTGCAGAAGGTATTTTGTGCTCATATTCTTGGCGACTGCCTGGTTTTTGGCAACCTAGTAGGTGCCTAGTAACTACTGAACGGCTCCAGAAAAGAAGACAGCTACCGCTCACTCTTGGGAAGCAGGGACAGAAAACACACAATGGAGATTTCTGGAAGATGATTGACAGTCTGGCCTTTCATCCCAGCACTCAGGAGGCAGAGGCAGGTGGAGCTCTGAGAATTTGAGATGAACCTGGTCTACAGAGTGAGTTCTAGCTCAGTCAGGGCTGGATAATGAGATCCTGTTGTTTTAAAAAGGAAACAAAAACAATAATTTAAAACTCTTATTTACCCTAAAAGGCATTATTCTAACATAAGATCTTAGAGGAAAATAAGGCCTCACAAAGAAGTTTATCAAGGGACATTAATTAGGTATCAGAGATCACAAACATATCTGCAAGCAACATTTCTATGATTTATTTTTATCATTTTTAAATGCATGTGTGTGTGTGTGTGTGTGTGTGTGCGCGCGCGCGCGCTCATCACATGTGGGCAGGTATCTGAGGAGGCCAAAAGGGGTATTAGATCCCTTGGAACTGGAATTACAGGTACCTATGACCGACCAGATGTAGGTTTGGGGGTGGGGGGTCCGGATGTGGGTGCTGGGAAATGGGCTCTGGGTCCTCTGCAAGAGCCACAAAGCATCCTCTTTAAAATAAAGAGCTAATCCAGAATTTTCTGGTGGTGAAGCCTCATGCACACAACATATTTGCATGCAATGAGCAGCAGAAGACTTTAGGAGGCACAGACTTCTGTCAACGTTATTTAAAAAGGAATGAGTCTAAATTAGGGTTTAGTAGTGGCATCTAAATCAAGGAAGTGACACCCAATAACAGATTAGCTGTCTGGAAATGGTAGGGCTAATTAGCATAGCATAATTTAAGATAAATATATTTTTAAAGCAGAGCAATGAGCATATAGAATTTTTAAAGCGAGTTCTTATTAATATCTTAGATTTGTCTCATCTCAGGCAAGCTAAATTGTGGGGTATGCACTGAATGCAGATCTAGAAGCCCTCTTTGTCGCTTTCCCTCCGGGGCCCTCGAGGTAAACAGATCCTTCTGTGAGCTCCAGTTCCCTTTCTGTAAACATCGGGCTTACAGAGACTATAACCCTGACAACAGTTTATCAGTGGTAGCCGACACAGGGTATTTCTCTTCCTCATTTCTACTCTCTGTCTCCATTCTTAGTACACTTTCTGGTCTCTACTCAACACATATATTTTGGTCTGGGTCTACTTTATTGTGAGTGGCATGGCCCTGTTCCCGACTTTGAACTTCGTTTGCCTGAGGCCAGCCTATAAATGATTAAGCCGGTGTCTATTTGGTTTCTTTTATTGTGCATTTTCCTTTCTTATTTCTCCTCTCCGCAAACATTGCTTGTGTATTGAATATAAACTGTGTAATGACATTGAAAGCAGCACCCTAGATATGACAGGGGCTTGGAGACAGCATTCTCAAAGAATAGATGCCCACGCCCCAAGGATGCGTGAAGCCAGCCAGGTGTGGGGGGCAACACCTGGAAGAAAAATGGAGGCTGGAGACGCTGAAGAATTTCTTGGTGCTCTGCTGTGAAGAGCAGTGGGGGAGGGTACAGGCACAAAGCTGCAGCAACAGGGCTGAGGCGGAGCCCTGGCAGCCCAGCAGAGCAGCTACAGGTCACCGGAGTGTGGCAGGGTCTCACTGAATGGCTTGCACAGTGGAGTGACGTCACCTAATCGAACTTTAAACCCTGACCTTTTTTCCAGAAGGAGAACTCAGAACTGCCCCTCAGAAAGCAAAACATCTGGGTCATTAATATGCCTAGGTAGTTTTGTATAGATCCTAAACAACTGATATTTGGATTCAGTGGGTTAAAAACTTATCGGTTGTCAAAAACTGTGTGGTTGCCTGGGGTCTGATCAGCCACCTTGGACCATGTAGGTGCCCAAAGGCCATACTGCAGCTGGAGCTATACAGATCTGAGTGGCACATACTACTACCCAGTGCCATGGTGATGCCTGGGCCAGGGCTGGGGTCCATATCTGGGTCCACCGTCCAGCTGCAGCTGGGGTCTGTGTTGATGTCTGTGGCCCACGTCACCTCAGGGGCATATAGGAACCAGGCGAGATGAAATCAGATGACCATGTTGAGCCGGCCCCATCCTTTCTCTGGCCCAGGGAAAGCTGGCCTTGCCTCTCACTGGACACTACTGAGCTGGCCCCAACCCTCAAGGGAGAGTTGGCACTTGGGAGAGATGGTCCCACCCCTCACCACAGGCAACAGTGAACTGACCCTGAGGGCAGGGGCATAGGGAAGCTGATTCCATCCCCTCACCTGAGGCGGGGGGCTCCAGTGGCCAGGACTGACCAGCTCAGCTACCACCCCGGCCCACAGCCAAGCCTTGGGTTGGCCCACCCTAACATCTACCCCACCTAGGACCTGCTGGAGCTTGTGAAGGGCCTGGCCCTGAGGAACAATACCCACAGGACCTCCATGACTCTGGGCGGCCACAGGATATCCCAGAGGAGTTCCAGTGATGATGGTGTACCAGAGACCAGAGGCCTTGAACCAGACCAGGGATTCACTGCAATGAATGAATCAGCTAGTCAGCTAACAGGACAAAAGAGTATACTATATGACACTCCAAGGATCCTAATGCCACCAGGACCAAGGAAGAGGTGTTGGAGAGGTGAGAAAGAGGAGCAAAGAGGGTTTTTCTTTCTTTCTCTCTTTTCTTTTTTTTCTTTCTTTCTTTCTTTCTTTCTTTCTTTCTTTCTTTTTTTTTTTTGTTTATTTTGTTCTTGGTTTTGTTTGTTTATTTGCTTGCTTTGTTTTGTTTTGTTTTGATTGTAGTGGGTAGCCATTCCAGCTTTGACCTGGAAGTTCCAACCCCCATTGAGGCTTCAGTAATGGTCATGCCTACAAGGCGGGGCTGAGAGAGGACCCTGAAGACCCGAGATCTGGATGCGCAGGCTCTCTTGGTTCCTGGACCCTGGACGCTGGAGCTAGACCGAGCAGAGTTCTCCAGAGAACACCACCGGACTGTGCTACACCTTTCCCAGACCCTGTAGCCTATCCCTTCACTTGTAAGTTACCCCACAAAATAAACTTTCCTTTTAACTACGTGGAGTGGCCTTAATAGTTTCACCAATATTTGATTTTTTAAAATTTCCTTTTGTTGGGGGGCACGCTGCAAGGGTGAAGGGAGGGGATGGGGGTACCAGGAGGTAAGCGGAATTGGGGTGCATGGTGTGAAGCTCTCAAAGAATCAATAAAGAAGATGAATTCTTTAAAAACGTCCATAGGTTGTTTCCAGTGAACACTGCTGCCATAAATCTGTCTCAGCACACACATGTGAAGTGGTAAAGACAACGGCGGTACAGCGGACAGCAATCACAGCTGTCGGGTTATGAATCTCTGACGGGGAGGGAGGGAGAAGGTTCCAGGGGCATCAGGCTGCTCCTGGCTCCAAATTACTTCTTACTGTATGAAGCATTCGGGCTGGGCTTTGCCCATTTTACAAGCAGCGTTTACCGTCACTGAAGGTGAAAATCCTGCAGCAGAATGAGTGTGCCCCTCATTCTGGCTGTGAACCCCAGGACCTAGGCAGCATCCCCTCGGAGGCACTGATGAACAGCTTACACCTAAACGTGCAGCTTACCAAGTAGAGTGGGGACATGGACCTATTAAAACCATA